TATATAATGTTGTTTATATTCTTTTATAACCTACTTTTTCCCCATTTCAATCAAGGTCCTGGGGGCAGCTGGTGGTGTTCTCAAGTGGGGTGATTGAGAAGAGGTTAATGAAGAGGCTCTTTGTAAAGGTGTCGATAGGGCTAGAAGGAATCAGAAGGGATGGTGTGGTGCCCCACGGGCAAAGGAGAAAAGCAGGGAGGAAGCAAAGTTGATCATTTTTCTTCATTTCCATTACCTACTTTCTTTGGGCAACAGATTTCTTTGGAGCCCTTAGCAGGGGCCCAAAAAAGTATGGGCCCTGAGGAGATGACACACAAACACTTGCAATTGGTAGGTCTCCAAATTCCAAGGGATTTAGAGAGGATGTTGGCCCAGCTTCATCGTATTTTGGGAATTCCATACCTCTATACCAGCTATTTCCTCCTAACTAAGGAAAGGAGTTATACCAATGACATTTATTTTTCTATAATCAGTACCAAGCTTTAGTAATCAATTCAAGAAGCAAATGCTTGACGTATTATTGCAAAGACTAGGAACAGAATGTTACACATAATGCTTGTTATGGCACAGAAATACCACTGTGATTGTCAGTTCCTAAAACGATCAGCAGTGTGACCCTTTACAAAATTCCGAAGATGTAGAATGAATTTGGTTCTATATGTTGTGTAATACTATTATATTCATTTCCAAAGACTTTATCTAACTGACTAATTGGTAGGAATCATCAAGTGATACTGGATAAGTCACATATCCCTTCTTACACCACTTTCTTCTGTTTGTGCTGGTAATACTACACTGTCTGGATTACTACCACTTTCCCCACCCTCTCTCTCTCTGGCTGCCCTTTCATCTCCTACATGAAATATTGGATCCTGGGCCTTCTCATCATCTCTAGCTGCATTTTTTTCCCTAGATGATCACATCCAGATCTGTTTTAAGAAATCCTTCAGCTCCTGACTCCAAATGTACATCTCTCGCCCTGACTTCCCCTCAGTTCCAGGCTCATAGATCCACGGTCCTACTTGCCAGCTCCTCTTGATCAATAACAGGTATCTCAAAATTAGCATATCCCAAACAGTACCACGACTCACAAAGCTGTAGAAGTCATCTTTAACACCACCCCTTTTAACATTCCTCATGCTCAGCCCAACAGCAAGTACTGTGTGATCTGCCTCAAAAATTGATCTTTTTTTAAAATTTTTATTGGAGGAGAGTTGATTTACAATGTTGTGTTAGTTGCAGGTGTACGGCAAGGTGAATCAGTTATACATATACATATATCCACTCTGTTTTAGATTCTTTTCCCGTATAGGCCATTACAGAGCAGCAGAATGGATCTTGACTGTGTCTACTTTTCTCCATTCTCACTGCCTAAACCTCCTTCCAGCCGCCCTCTTCTCTGACCTGTGGGAGCATCACACTGGTGACCTTATTGTTCTCTCCCCAGAAGAGAGTGATGTTTTCTTAAAGCCTAAATCATATAATGTTGTTCCCCTCCTTAAACCCCTTCAGTAGCTTCTTTATTTTAGAATAAAATCCAAATTCCTTACCTTCTCCTACAAGACCCTGCATGATCTGGCCCTCCTTGCCTCTCCACATTATTTCAAACAGATCACAGCCTCTCTCCTTTCCCTCTAAATTCACTGTCCTTTCTAGCCCTACAATATGTCAAGCTCTGCCCCATCTTCACACCTTTGCATTAACTCTTCCCTCTGCCTGGAAAACTCTAGCTCATAGCATGACTTGCTTCTTCTCCAACCTTCAGGTCCCAGCTCAGAAGTCACTTTCTAGAGGCTTTGTCTGACCTAACGCAGCCCACCCCCATTTCCAGTGACCTTACCATACCTGAAACCATCGTCATTTATTATCATTTCTCTGTCTCTCCCACTAGGGTCTAAGTTCCTGGAGCACAGCTTCTTAGATTTCTTTCTGTCACCAGCCACTGGAATATTCCTTGCTAAATAGCTACCTGGTTTAATGAATAAAGGACTACCATCAGCAAAAAGGCTTGGAATGAATCAGAAAGTGTTTTCATCTATCATGACTTCACTTCCAGATGGATATTTGGACTCTCAGATACCTGTAATTTTGGTTCGAGTCATTAATTCCCTTAAGTGGAAGCTAAGTTTTAATAGTATAGCTTCATTGTTTGAAAAACGGGCAGAAAGCATTCCTAGGGTGAGGATTTGTTCATTCATACTGTTAAGTTGTCATATGCTTTGAATAAAAAACACCAAGCAGAATTCTTTTTTGTGAACCTTGGGGTTGGGGTGGGGGGCAGGGCAAGATTTAAACTCTCCCCCTTTGGTTTATCTTACATCTCAGGCGTTTGGATCAGTGGCTCAAGGAGATCAGGGAGCCTGAAATCTGTGAACTGTCTCCTTAGAATAAACACCGACGCATCAGGATCATGTACTCTAAAGTCTCCTAATTCTGTCTCTGCTTCTCAGCTCCCCTCACATCCCTCTCTCACCTTCTGCTCCCTCTCTTCGCTGCTGCAGCTCCTAGGGCTCAGTACTGCCCATTGCAGCGGGGAGCACAGGCAGGCTGTCTGAGATGCCCAGGAGCTACAGTGGGAATGGCTAGGTTGCTGTGTCAGGCATGCCGGCCACCTGGCCAGAGCCCCTGGGACCCCTAGGCCACTGGGTTCATGAAGCCCACAGGAGGCGTGGGCCCCTTCTGCTGTCACTAATCTTTCCCAGCAGACTGTGGCCATGTGCCACCACGCTCTGTCCTCCACTTGCCACGCTGTAAGTGACCATTCCCAACACACAGGGTATCCTCACTCCGGGAAGTTGCCAGGTACCTTGTTTCAACTGAGAAACCTAGAGAAAGACTTGTGTGCGGGTGGGTGGCTGGCTGGATCAGGATGTTAATCCCATCATAATAGCTGATGAATCATCCTCTAAATGTGTAAATGATTGCTTTCTAGAACAGGGCTTGAGGGCAGAAATCCTACTAGACTTGTAAACAAAGCTACGTCAGTTCCGTCGTCAGTTCACGGAAGGTGTCATGACTACTATGTTGATTGGTCAGGGTCGGCTTACGGTTGAAATAACCCATTCCCAAACGTCAGTGGCTTAACCCCATAAAGGATTCCTCATGTCACAATGCAGTCAGGTCAGCGGGGTTGGTGAAGGGGTGTCTCTGCCCCACACAATCCTCCAGGGACCCAGGCTCCTTCCTCCTGGTACAGAGGTTCTTAACCTGGAGTCCACAGGTCCCGGAAAGGGGGTGGACAGAATTCAGGGAGTCTGTGAACTTGGATGGGAGAAGAAGTATATCTTTATTGTCATGAATCTTTTAACTATAATATAGCATTTCCTGCAATTATGATCGAAGACATCAAACCACAATAAAGTTAATGCCACCTGTGACTTTAGTATCAATAGAAATCATGGATATTTTCATATCACCTTTCAATTTTAGCAGATATCATGAAATATCATTTATGCTTAACACTACTTTGAAATTATGGTAGTTACTAGACTCACTTAAAGATCTTGTTATTTAATGGGTTAAAGAGTACATATATTACCATTTCACAAAATTTTAAAATATTTTGATAGCTGTTTCAGTACTCTTGCAGTTTTTCGTAATCCTATGTATTTTATTTTAAACATTAAAAAACATTATTCAAGAAGGGGGCCATGGAATTTAACAGACTGCCAGAAGGGTTCATGGCAAACAAAAGATTAAAAATCCCTGATCTAAACAACAAGGTCTGACTATATAGCACAGGGAACTATATTCAATATCCTATGATAAACCATAATGGAAAAGAATATTTAGAAAAAGAATGTGTGTGTGTGTGTGTGTGTGTATGTGTGTGTGTGTATATATATATAAAACTGAATCACTTTGCTTTACAGCAGAAATAAACACGACATTGTAAATCAACTATACTTCAATTTTAAAAATATTGAAAATTTAAAAATCTCTGATCTAGTGGTTCTACTGTCCCCTAAGTCCTTGGGTATCCCCTACCTCTAGTCAGCAGAGGGGGCTTGAGTGACATTGAGAAGTAGTTTAGGGACAAGGCTTAGAAGGAATGTGTGTCACTTCTGCCCATGTTCCCCTGGCCCTGACCCCACCTAACTGCAAGGGAGGCTGGGAAGTGAAGTCTAGTCTGTTCCCAGGCGAAAACGGGATGGGGCTTGGTGAGTACATGGAAGTGATTGTCACCGTGCCCATGGAAACAATTAGCAAAGAGACAGCAGTCCAACGACAAGCACCCTCCCTGGAGAAAACTCACTCCCTGTCAAATTCACTCCGGGAAGTATAATCACAATAAGACCATAATAGCTGCCATTGGTTGAATAATTACTCCCGTCAGTATTGCGCTAAATGATTCACTTTCATGACCTCATTCAATCCTCATAATAACCTTATGAAACAGGTACTATTGTTCCTACTTGATAAATAAGGAAACCAGGACCTGAGAAAGGCAGTCCAGAATCGGTGCTCTCAATTCCTGTGCTGGACTGTTTTGGAAAACTTCTGAGATCCTTGTAAGAGAAGATGGAGCCGTATCCTGGTGGAGAGAGTGGTTCCTGGAACCAGACTCCCAAACTTCATATCCCAGCTTTGCTGGAAGCTGGCTCGTAGCCAGGGCAAGTTTTCCTGAAAGCTTTCCATGAATCTGTAAAATGGTGATAATAATAGCTTCCATCTTTTAGGATTAAGTGAGATAAATTCTTAGACTAGCACCTGGCACGTGGTAAGTGCTCAGTGAACGTTAGACACTGTCATTGATGCCTAAATGACACTGTGACCACCTCAATGAAAGTGAACTAAATGTTCCAGCAGGGCTCAGTATTCATGAAGGATGCAAGAAAATCTCTGAGGTCACCAAGATCCTCCCCAGCCAGGGGGTTTCCTAGAATGGTGTACTGAGTTTTAGTCAAGAGAATGGGACGCCGCTACTTTTCTAATGAAGGAAAAAATTAAAATTGTTGGGTTAGTTTTCATTTTAATGTAACTTTCTCTCCCATGTATAGAACTCCATGAAGGTGATGTTCAAATGCCTCTGGAAAAACTGTGGGAAGGTTCTGAGCACTGCAGTGGGTATGCAGAAGCACATCCGGACCATTCATCTTGGGTAAGGCAGCCCTCCCTTCAGAGCTTGGCGTGTCTCCATCAGTTCGATCCAGGTCACTTGCACTCAGAATTACACACCACACTGTGCCTTAAAAATTCTGAACACAGGACTAGGGACTAAGCCAGCTGGGTCTTCCTAATCACCATGGAGATGCCCACTGCAGATAACATAGGCCAGTATGGCAAGTGGAAAGAAGGTGACTCACATTTGTAAAGCCTCCCTAATATACTCACTAAGTCAGGGGTCCCCAATCCCAGGACCGAGGATCGGCACCCGTCCGTGGCCTGTTAGGAACCGGGTCGCACAGCAGGAGGTGAGCGGCGGGCAAGTGAGCGAAGCTTCACCTGCATTTACAGCCGCTCCCCATCGCTCGCGTTACCGCCTGGACCATCCTCCTCCACCACCCGCCCTGTGGAAAAATTGTCTTCCAGAAACTTTGGTCCCTGGTGCCAAAAAGGTTGGGGACCGCTGCACTAAGTGACATTAAACACGTCGCTGCTTGGAGGCTCAGGTCCTTCTGAAAATGAGGCTAATTATATCAGCCCTGCAGCGGCATGTGTGAGGGTCAAAACTAAAATGTATGCTAGAATAATTTGTAAAAGATGGACCACTAGGGTAGGGTAGGGTAGGGTAGGGTAAGGGGTCCTTGAACCCCCTGAAATTGTCTGTAAAGTTAGATGTGCACTTTTTTCCCAGGGGAGTGTATTCGTGACTTTGAGCCTCAAAGGCAGATATAACCTGAAAAGGGTTTAAGAACCACGGTGACAATCAGTGCTGCTGTTGCTATTCTTATGATGCCTGATGACCTGCTCTATCATTTTCTGTTGCCCAGATAAGTCCTTTATTTGTACAACTGACACTTCCTTGTGTTACATAGAAACCATTCTAAGGAAAGATGAAACTAAGTTTCTAGCAACAGGGATTAGGGGGCCACTCCAGAGGGGCAATGGTAGTTCAGTTGCCTTGTGCTCTCGTCTCTGGGTTTTTCTTGTCCAGCAATCTGGGACTGAGAAGAGACCTTGAGAAGCTGTAAGTCATAACCAGTGTGCATAAGGCAAATCCAGATACATGACCAGCCCCCAAAATGCTTGGACACAGAGGAGCCCTTCCAAAAAGATGAGTGTTGAGAAATCAGCACTACAGTCGCTTTGCCCAGCAAGGGATAAATTTAGGGAATGCATCATCCATTTAAAAAAGTGGTAGAAAAAGAAAACAAGAACTGGTTCTAAGGTGATTTTGCTGATTGCTGTGGCTCGGCCCCTTCAGTGACTGGAGAGAAGCAGAGATCTATCTCCCTAACCTGTAGGCTTGGGATGCTGGAGACATAGCCAGATCCTTCCAGGGCACAGCACGTGGAAAGTCACCAAGCGCCGTGGGTGTGGCCCAGCAAAGCAGGGAGTCTGCTCCGCTAGCCCGAGGGTCCACTTCATCCTCCAGGAAACACCACACTGAAACACTGCGCGGCAGAATGCCCTCCTATTCCTAAAGGCTTCGGAGAAGGAGATCCTGCAGCTTCTCCCCTCAAACCTCACTGTCAGCACAGCTCACAGAGTAAATAGCTCAGAGTTCTTTAAAGGTTTAGCTATAATCTGGAAGCTATAATCAGGACTTGGGTTATTTGTTTTAAGGTCCCTCTGCCCAATGATTCGAATCCTATTCAGCACTACACAGAAACACATGCCACATATATGTATTTATAGACTAAAAACGGCATCACAGGATTTTCCTTTGAGCTTCTGGGGTGCTCTCGTGGTGGGTGAAATTCAGCGTGCAGCTGCTATATTCACTTCCCTGGGATTCCCTTTTTACCCTGTGTGCTTCACATCGCCCTGGTGAATTAGGATTCACATCCCTGCCAGCCATCGCCCAGGAATGGGCCTGCGTTAGCAGGACTCCAAGGCTGCTCTGTCTGTATATGAAGCTCTCATGGACCTGGGTAGGGTTCGGGAGGGGACCGCCTTTGCCTTAACCCATGTCCTCCATGATGTGACTGTAGGAGGATGGGGCATTTTTAATGAGTGTTGGCTGTGGGACCTAGGGGAAGAAGGGGGCATTCCAGAACCCCCAAATATGTGTCTTGCATCTGATGTAGCTGCAGTGCACACCATGTCAGTATAAAAAGTACACTGTTTTTCTCTTAAGTCTCACTCCACTCTTATACACCAGGGGCTGAGCCTGATTTATCCCCGTGTAGGACACACAGTTTCCCCCAGGCCTGTGTGTCTATTAGTGGCACTCAGGCAGCCAGTAGCAACTCGGCCTGCCCTTTACTGGAGAGGAAGTGGGGACAGGAATAGAACAGGCGCACATTCTTCAGCCCACTCTCTGGGGTCTTCCGTGCTCTGCTTGTAGGAAAGCCAAGCCCAGCCTGACCTGGTACAGTGCAGACACCTCCCTAGACGCCTCCGCCTGAGACCTTAGGGGAAATGGAACGAGTCTGGGAGAAGCCCCCGATGTGGCTAAACCGAAAGGCCGAGGAGAAGGGGAGACTTGTGTTTTAAGTTCTATACAGGGATTGTAAGTGGGAAAAAAGTTTATTCCGAGTCAGTGTCCTGCGCCTGCTGGATGTGGTCATGAAATTTGGGGATGCCCCAGGGAAGGGAGATGTGCAGAGGCTATCCCATAAAACCAAGTGGCCAGATGTGCACCATTTCCCTAGAAATTCATAAATCAAATAAATGTTATTATTTACTCGACAGTTATTTTATGCAAAGCTTTCTGTGGAAAAGTACAATTTTCCATGTCTCAGGGAGAAAAACTGCGGAAGTACTAGAAGATATTTTTCCTGGTGATAGTAAACATTGAGGCTTTTTTTTATACATATAAATTTATTTATTAATGTTTGGCTCCCTTGGGTCTTCGTTGCTGCCCGTGGTCTTTCTCTAGTTGCAGCGAGCGGGGGCCACTCTTCATTGCAGTGCGCAGGCTTCTCATTGCGGTGGCTTCTCTTGTTACAGAGCACGGGCTCTAGGCGCGCGGGCTCCAGTAGCTGTGGCACGCAGACTCAGTAGTTGTGGCTCACGGGCTTAGTTGCTCCACGGCATGTGGGATCTTCCCGGACCAGGGACTGAACCTGCGTCCCCTGCGTTGGCAGGCGGATTCTTAACCACTGTGCCACCAGGGAAGTCACAACATTGAGGCCTTTTAACATCAGCCTTATTTTTATTTAATACACACTCAGTGCTTATTAGGTGTGCGGTACACTTCTAAGCACGTATGCAGTAGGCCTCCATACCTGCAGCTGCGGAACCCACAGATATGGTGGGCCAGCTGTGCTATGTCATTTTTTTTGTTGTTGTTTGTTTGTTTGCTGTACGCGGGCCTCTCACTAATGCGGCCTCTCCCGTTGCGGAGCACAGGCTCCGGACGCACAGGCTCAGCGGCCATGGCTCACGGGCCCAGCCGCTCTGCGGCATGTGGGATCCTCCCGGACCAGCATGTCATTTTATATAAGGGTGCAGGCTGCCAAAATCACACACACAGATAGAAGCTGTCAGGATTTGAACCCAGGAGATCCGACTCCAGAATTCATGCTGGGAATCACTGTGCTATAACATCAGCTTCCTTCGTTCATTCATTCAACATTTAATAGGCACCTACTGTAGGCCAGATGCGCTGATATGTGTAGTGTGACACAAAGATGAACAAGACATAGCCCTAGAGAATCAGTCTTAGGGAGGCGACAGGGGTTTAAAAAAAAATTGCAGAAATGTACCAAGTCATTACATAAAGTGAATTAAATAAACTGAACGCACCTCACAGGGAGCTCAGAGGATCTAACAGTTCGGAATTAAGTCCTAACACCTAACGTGCAAAATACTTCCCCGATTTGAGAGCTCAGGTCACTTCCACCTCCCACCTCTCGCCCGGCCACTGTCAACTGCTCCACAGTCTGCTCGCTGGCCTCCCACCCCTCTTGCCCTCCTCTCCTCTATTCTCTCTCCAGACAATTGCCAGAGTGATCCTTTTAAAAAGTAACTTATGAGGGCTTCCCTGGTGGCGCAGTGGTTGAGAGTCCGCCTGCCGATGCAGGAGACACAGGTTCGTGCCCCGGTTCGGGAGGATCCCACATGCTGCGGAGCGGCTGGGCCCGTGAGCCATGGCCGCTGAGCCTGCGCGTCCGGGGCCTGTGCTCCGCAACGGGAGAGGCCACAACAGTGAGAGGCCCGCGTACTGCAAAAAAAAAAAAAAAAAGTAACTTATGAGTCTATTTCTGTTTTGTAAATAAGTTCATTGGTATCATTTTTTTAGATTCCATATATAAGTGGTAGCATATGATATTTGTCTTTGTCTATCTTACTTCACTTAATATGAAAATCTGTAGGTCCATCCATGTTGCTACAAATGGCATTAGATGGCATTAGAAAACAAACTTATGGCTACCACAGGGCATAGCATGAGAGGGGGTGAACTGGGGAGAGATACATTAGGAGCTTAGGATTAATAAATACACAGTACTGTATATAAAACAGATAAACAACAAGGACTTACTGTATAGCACAGGGAACTATACTCAATATCTTGTAATAACCTATAATGGAAAAGAGTCTGAAAAAGAAGATATATATGCTTTATATATATATATATAATAAAAATATATATAATTACTTTGCTGTACACCTGAAACTAACACAACATTGTGAATTAACTATACTTCAATTTTAAAAAATAAAAAATAAATTAAAAGTAGCTCAGAGTCCTCAAAATCCCCAGAAGCTTCCATCACATTCAGGACAAAATCCCGTCTTTCCCCAGGGCTACAAGGCCCTGTGCGATCTTGTCTCTGCCTTCCTTGCCACGCTTCTCTCCTTACTCTCTGCCTGGTGCCCCGAGCACCAGCCGCCTGCCTCTCTGCCCTTCCTGGAAAGTGCCAGGACGGCCCACCCCAGGACTCTGTGCATTCTTCCCACATGGTTCCCACATGGGTTTCTCCCTCACCTCATATAGACGTCTGCTCAGATATTACCTCCTCGGAGAGTCTTCCTCTGAACACACTATTTAAAATGATGCCCCCGTCATTTAAGCTGATTAAGGACACTCTTAATGCTGCTTAATTTTTCTTTCTGGGATGTATCACTACCTGATGTATTAAATGTCTATTTCCTTATGGGTTTACTTTTTTTATGAGTTATAGTCGATGTACAATATTTTATAAGTTATAGATGTACATTCTGGTAATTCACAATTTTTAAGGTTATAGTCCATTTATAGTTGTTACAAAATATTGGCTATATTCCCTGTATTGTACAGTAATATAGCCTTGTAGCTTATTTTATACATAATAGTTTGTACCTCTTAATCCTCTACCCATATACTGCCCCTCCTCCCTCCCCTCTCCCCACTGATAACTACTGGTTTGTTCTCTATATCTGTGAGTCTGCTTCTTTTTTGTTATATTCACTAGTTTGTTGTGTGTTTTAGATTCCATATATAAATAACATCATACAGTATTTGTCTTTCTCAATCTGACTTATTTCACTTAGCGTAATACCCTCCAAGTCCATTCATGTTGTTACAAATGGCAAAAACTTCATTCTTTCTTAATGCCTGAGTAGTATTCCATTGTGTGTGTGTGTGTGTGTGTGTGTGTGTGTGTGTGTGTGTGTGTGTATCTCACATCTTCTATATCCTTCATCTGTTGATGGACACTTAGGTTGCTTCCATATCTTGGCAATTGTACATAATGCTGCTATGAACATTGGGGTGCATGTATCTTTTTGAATTACTGTTTTGTTTTGTTTTTTTTAGATATATACCCAGGAGTGGAATTGCTGGGTCATATGGTAGTTCTATTTTTAGTTTTTTGAGAAACCTCCATACTATTTTCCACAGTGACTACACCAATTTACATTCCCACCAACAGTGTACAAGTGTTCCCTTTTCTCCATATTCTCGCCAACATTTGTTATTTTTGTTCTTTTTGATGATAGTCATTCTGACAGGTTTAAGGTGATAACTCATTGTGGTTTTGATTTGCATTTCCCTGATGATTAGTGATGTTGAGCATCTTTTCATGTGCCTGTTGGCCATCTTCATGTCCTCTTTGGAAAAACGTCTATTCAGATCTTCTGCCCACTTTTTAATAGGGTTGTTTTTTTTTTTTAATGTTGAGTTAATGAGCTATTTATATATTTTGGATAGTAACCCCTTATCGGTCATATCACTTGCAAATATTTTCTCCCATTCAATAGGTTGTCTTTTTGTTTTGTCAGTGGATTCCTTTGCTATGCAAAAGTTTTCAAGTTTAATTAGGTCCCATTTCTTTATTTTTTACTTATATTTCCTTTGCTTGGAGACAGATCCAAAACTTATTGCTACAATTTATGTCAAAGAGTGTTCTGCCTATGTTTTCCTCTAGCAGTTTTATGGTGTCATGTCTTACATTTAGGTCTTTAATCCATTTTTAGTTTATTTTTGTGTATGGTATTAGGGAGTGTTCTTATTTCATTCTTTTACATGTTGCTGTCCAGTTTTCCCAGCACCACTTATGGAAGAGACTGCCTTTTCTCCATTGTATATTCTTGCCTCCTTTGTCGCAGGTTAATTGACCACAAGTGTGTGAGTCTATTTCTGGGCTCTCTATTCTTTTCCATTGATCTATGTGTCAGCTTTTGTGCCAGTGCCATACTATTTCGATTACTATAGCTTTATACTGAAGTCAGGGAGCATGATTCTTCCAGCTCTGTTCTTTCTGAAGATTGTTTTAGCTATTTGGAATCTTCTGTGTTTTCATACAAATTTTAAAATTATCTGTTCTAGTTCAGTGAAAAATACCATTGGTATTTTGACAGGGATTACATTGAATCTGTAGATGGCCTTGGAGAGTGTGGTCATTTTAACAATATTAATTCTTCCAATCCAAGAACACAGTATATTTTTCCATCTGTTTGTGTTGTCTTCAATTTCTTTCATCAGTGTCATACAGTTTTTTGAGTACAGGTCTTTTACCTCTTTAGGTAGGTTTATTCCTACGTATTTTGTTCTTTTTGATGTGTTCCATTATGGGTTTCTTGTCTGCCTCTCCCCCTAGACTGTATGTTCCATCAGGGCAGAGTCTATTTATGTTTTGTTCACTGTAATAGTGGGACTCTAAAAAAAGAGCCAGGACATAGTAGACTCTCAGTGCATTGTTGTTGAATAATTGATTGATTGGTTGGTTAATTGAATAAATTGCTTTAGGAAGTTAAGGAAGGCTTCCCTGGAAGTGGACAGTTGAGTGTTGCAGGATAGGTAAGAGTTTGCCAGGCAGACAGAACAGAGGAAAAGCATTCCAGACGGAAGGACCAGCATGTGATGTGCCAGATTTCAAGGCAAGAAAATGGCTTGGGTGAGTAGGATTGTTCTGCTCTCTTTTGCATTAGGCGTGTTGGGGAGTCTGACTACAGTGATGGAGAAGAAGACTTTTACTACACTGAGATCAAGCTCAACACAGACTCGGTGGCAGACGGACTGAGCAGCCTGGCCCCGGTTTCGCCCTCCCAGTCCCTGGCTTCGCCTCCTACTTTCCCCATCCCAGATTCCAGCAGAACAGAAACTCCTTGTGCCAAAACTGAGACAAAATTGATGACACCCTTGAGCCGCTCTGCTCCCACCACCCTCTACCTCGTGCACACCGACCACGCTTACCAGGTGACTGGCAAGGGACCGTGAGAGTAATCACTTGACTCCTGACCAAAAGCAGTAGCATTCTGACTCTTTTTCTCCTTTTAAAGCCAGAATCTCGCACAGATGAAACCCTGTAGGTCCTTGGACTTTGCAGTACTGATTGAAGATCTGATCCCTGAGACGCTGTTATGAGAATTAAAATCCTTAATACTGTAAAACTCTCAGAAGGGAGCCTGGCACATGATATAAGTGCCTGTTAAATAAAAAATAAAATAAGTGAAAAGATGAGCATTGAAAAGTGCTGACACAATGCCGCTTTCGTCCTGCACCCCAGTCTGGGACTTAGTGCACTCCCTTCTGAATTGGTAACTCACTCTCTCAGACTGGAGCTGTGGTTGTCAGTGTTCCCCAAATCAACAGTGTCAGCATCACCTGGAAACTTGTTAGAAATGTATATTTCTTGGGTTTGCCCCAGACCTGTGGGACCAGAAGGAGGGGTGGGGCTGAGCAGTCTGTGTTTAACAGACCTTCTAGGGGATTCTCCTTCACTCCAAAGGCTCATAAGACCTTAGAGACAAATCCTGCAAACACAGGACACGGCTAAAGTTCCTTTTCCCCCAGCAATTATGAGCTCTTTTAAGTGTTGATTTAGTAAGATTTCAATACACTCAGATTTTTAAAAAACTTTTCCCATAATTATCAACCACCTTATGTAACTTTTTCGAAGAAAAATCTCCTGTACATATTTGTAATTGTGTTCTCCCACCTTGTTTTATAAACACTTTCCGAATTCAATTAAATAAAAACATTAAAGGGTTTTAATCATTCTTTTGTTAGGGATCTACTTTTTAGTCTATCCAGCTTTTTAATTATCATTAGTAAATCTACAGAGGATACCTCTGTGCCAGTAGCTTTATTTTTTCCTTAGATTTCCAGAAGAGTAATTATTGAATCTTAGGATATAACGTGAACAGCTATGTATTGCCAAAATATTTTCCAGTGGTGCCAGTTACAAAACCACTGTCACTAGCAGCTGTATGTATAAAAGTAGAAAAACTAAAGCTGTAGAGGAAGAATTCAGCCATGTATTTAGTAGACTTCAACTCAAGAGCAATGGAATAGAGCTACTTATTAAATTAGTTGATGCAATAACTTTCATTCCTGACTCTTCTTAACGGCGGTCAAAAGAATTATTCATTCCTTTGTTCTTGTTTGTCAGTGTTGCATTTAGGTCCGAAATCGTGGGCTTGAACCAACTTAATTAAATTATTTTGCTTATCTATATAATGAGAGTTGGAACACGCACTAAGGGGTCTAGAAGTTCCTTCCCAAACCATATATTCACAATATTGGGATTTTTCTGTTTACAGATATTATAAATGCTCAGCATAAAAATATTAGAAACATAAGCAAAGAAAGAAAATCCATCCTTAGTCCCAACAACAAGAAAGCCCCTTGGTTCATATTTTTGGTATGTCCTTCAAAAGTATTCTATGTGTGTATGTATACTCATTTTTTTTTTAAAAAAGGAATCTATTGTAGTACTGTTTTCACTGTGCTTTGTTTTTTCCACTTAATATCCCATGAACATTTTCCCACGCCAATGAGTATTCTTCAACAACATCATTTTTAATGGCTCCGTGGCTATACCATGATATATCTACCCTTTTCCCTATTATTGGACATGTGTTTCCAGTTTTGTTAAATATAATACATAGTTCTGCAATGAACATCCTTATATCCATTTCCTGAGGATAAATTCTAGAAGTGGAATAGCTAACATACAGAACGCTAAGAATTTTTATATGTATTGCCAAATTACCCTCCCAAAGTGTTGTAATTTACAACCTACCATCACTGCATAAAAAAGTGACTCCCCAACTTGATAGTGAGGAATTGTATACCACAGATGTCCTAAAATCGGTATATGTATGTATAAGCAAATTTCTTTTCAGATATCAGTAGTCAAAAACTTTCTCCTTTTATACCTTCAGTTGCTTAGATAGATAAAAAGTTTATCTCTAGCTACTCTCTTTGACTGTGTTTAATTTCCTCCTATTATAATTTAGTCATTAATATAGCTGAGATTAGTTCTGAGGCCCTACTTTGGAAATGACAGCTTAAGACTCTGAGGTGAAATGTTCTTTCATAACAACTTCCTCTGTTTTCTATTGGACAGGCCACGCCCCCTGTGAACATTCCAGGATCGGCCAAGTTCACCCCCAATGGCAGCAGCTTCAGCATTTCTTGGCAGTCTCCTCCAGTTACCTTCACAGGCATTCCAGTAAGTAGAAAAGCAAAAAGCCAGAAATCTGGTCAAAGCCAAACGTATATTTAGAGAACAAGTTGTAGAAACATGCAAGAAAAAGATGAAAATTGGAATGCCAGAAGAATTCTTTTTTTTTTTTTAAATGATATTTGTAAACTCAGCGAGGTGTCTCGTGGTCCAGACAGGCCCAACTTCTTTGTAAAAAGGTGTTTTGACTGGAATTTTAGAAACTAAAAGACAGTTTCATCTGTTGATAAACAACTTGTTGGAAATATATCAAGATATTTTGTGTGGGTGGTGTATTTGTATGTTTCCAAAAGGCTTTATAAAATTAATAGCTGAACTCAGACCCTGAACATAAAAGAAAGAGATCCTATACGTAAATGGCATTTATCATTATGAGTAACTTTATAAGATTTGACTTTGAAATTATTGTTTGTGGGTATGTCATTTTGCAGGTTCAAATAGTAGAAATTGAAATCACGTTTTTTCTTCCAAAGCCTGAATAGCCCATGCTGAGGGGTAATTTGCAAATAAATGAGTACTGAAATATGCCATCGGGTTTAAGTAGTATATAAGAATTGATTTGATATGGTAAATGATTACTGTCTGAAAACTCAGCATGAATGTGCTTGATTCTTAACTATTCATTTCAAAAGATATCGGGTCTTTTATAGCTTATCACAGAATATCCATAGACCCCCATACCGCTGATGCTCAAGGGGGTTTATAACTCCTGATAAGGTTCAGGAAAGTGGCTTATGATGATAGACATTAACCTTATTTTCTCCTCTCCACCCCTCTCCCTATGGACCTCACAAAAGCTTCTTATTGCAACCACTGGCAACTCCCAGAGGTTTCCAGCAAATACCAAGGCCTCCTGTGGAGCTGATAAAAATGAAAGTGGCTCAGTCAATTACGCTGTGCTCTGTCAATGAATATTTATTAAATTCCCTAGAGGAATAGTCAACAATAAAAAGCATCCTGCTGGCAGCAGTTCGAGAATTTGTGGCTTCCAGAAAAGACTCCTAGAATAGGATTTTTAAACAGGATCATGGATCTGGAATAATTATGAAAGGTGCCTCCTTCACAAAGAGTGGAAGTGCTGGTTGTTCTCAAAAAGCAAGAATACGATGAATGCCCTGTTAGTGAACATTTAAAAAGAATAGCTTAGACATGTAGGTATTAGTTTTGTTTCTGGCAGGAACAGTGATCCCCTAAGGTGGGTGTCAGAGGTAAGCAATCAGCCCTTTTGGCGACTTTTTTTTTTTTTTTTTTTGGATAGACATAAAAAGACCCAGAGTGGCTCTGGACATGACATTTGAGACAACCCTTCTAAGCCAGCAAGGCAGCTACAATCACAGAATGACAGAGACCTGCTATTCTGAATTCCGTTCCTTCCCTTCTTTGATTTGAGCAGAATTTTCAAGAGCATCTCCCTAAAGCTCGTCTGGTGTAAAAACAAGTATAGTGTGTAGACAGAACAGCCCAGTTCAGACTTCCTTTCAAATTACCTCTATGACCATCCCAAATGGAGTATTTTCCCCGTTGTTCTATTAATTAAATCATCTCCTTCTGAAGTATAGTGTGATATCACGCCGTGTGGTTGTTTTTTTTTTAAACTGGGGTATAGTTGCTTTACAATGTTGTATCAGTTTCTACTGTACAGTGAAGTGGAGTTCCCTGTGCTATACAGCAGGTTCTCATTACTTATCTATTTTATACATATTAGTGTATACATGTCAATCCCAATCTCCCAGTTCATCCCACCACCACCCCCGCTTTCCCCCCTTGGTGTCCATACATTTGTTCTCTACGTCTGTGTCTCTATTTCTGCCTTGTAAACCGGTTCATCTCTACCATTTTTCTAGATTCCACATATATGCGTTAATATACGATGTTTGTTTTTCTCTCTCTGACATTTCACTAGTTCCATGTCCTCCAAAGTTCCTAAATGTCTTACACGGTAGGATACCAGCCAGGATACCTCCTCTTGTTGGTTTTTTTAACAGTGAAATTTTAAAAACTCTTCTCTCTGTGGACACTGTGGACAGAGTCCCTCATTTTGCTATCAATTGGTTACCAGGGATGTTCTGGACTAGAGCTTTGACAGAAAGTACATAGAGTAACTGAGTTAACTAGGTATCCCACTAAAATCCTATGTGAGCTTCTAATTTATCCTTTCGCCAGAGAATTCCCAATCTATCTGGTTTTAGACTGTTTCAGCAGTTAAGCTTCCCATCGCTATCTAAAAATAAAGGTAAGGGGATGGAGGGAGCTGCCATTTTCGAAGGCTTTTGTTTAATTCTAGAAAGAAGACAAGGAGGCTTACTACTAAAAATGTTCTTCATGTTGCCCTACTCTCTATCAATGCTTTTTTTAAAAGAAAAAAAAAACTGGCTGTTTGCTGTCCGCCCCCTTCTACAGTTGTGAGCTGGATCTCACAACTCCACACCACCCAGGCATAGGACTGCCACATGACCACTGGCTGGGTGCCAGCAACCATCCCTGAATTCTCCAGGGGTGCTAGTCCCGCCTCTAGAAGACAGGGAGCCAGGCTGACTCTGAGAACATGTGAATCCCCACCTCCTAAATTCGTGTAATAGGATTTTCAGACAGAACCTCTAAAAGTTTTAAATGATAAGGTACTAGTATCCGTGGTGGCTTCAACTTTATCCCAACTGAAGAACAGAGCAGTTGCCATTTTATTAAATCCTCATTAAAGAACACATTTCTTGTTGTACTCCAAAGCAAGTACTCTGAGGTTGTCAACCCCATTTAAGTTTTCCTTTTCTCCCATGTCTTTGAGACCTGGTATTGAAGAGGGGATGCTTTTGTATGCTTCCTAGAAAGTAGAAATAATCTCCTTCTGCGAAATCCCAAGGTTTGGAGAATTTTATTTATTCATTTGCCTACACTGGACTTCCTGAATTTGGGGCTTTAATAAGTTCCCTGGGTAAGACCTCTTCCCGGAGGTGTATAGCCCAGAAGGTCGATCTGCATATTCACCAATGGAACGTTTCAGTCTTTTCTAGCCCAAGGCTATGGACATAGGGGTAGGGAGAAGACCATGGTTAATTACTGCTTTCTTTGACCTGTTTTCCCCCAATGACCCCTAATTATCTCCATTTCTTTCCCTGTCTTTTCATGGCAGAAAGCTGAGAGCTCTTGGCCCTTGTGTGTTAGTCTGCCATAATAGACTGGGTGGCTTAAGCATCCCACATTTATTTTCTCACAATTCTGGAGGCCAAAAGTCTCAGATCAGTATGCTAGCTGATTCAGTTCTTGGTGAGGGCTCTCCTGCTGCCTTGTCAGGGGCCAACTTTTTGATATGTCCTCACATGGCCTTTTCTTTTGGGGGGTAGGGAGACAGAGAGAGAGCCCTTTGGTGCCTCTTCTTCTAAGGGCACTAATCCTGTTGGATCAGGGTCCCACCCTTTGGACCTCATTTGTCTTTAATTACTTCCTTAGAGACCCCATCTCCAAATACAACCACACTGAGAATTAGGGCTTCAACATGTGAAGGGGGGTGGAGCGGACACAAAATCCAGTCCATAATAGGCCCCATGCAAGCAAATAGGAGCTAATCAACCTGCTATCCAAGGGCCATTCCAAGAGGCTTCAGGCCAGAAAGACAGCCTCCAGACCTGAAATATTAGTGCTTAATTGTTAGCTCTTTAGCTGGTTTGTTTTTTGTTAACACTTTGATGGAGGGTTCAGAATATTATGTTAGAAGAGATTAAAACCAAGACAAGGGGCTCTTTTTCCTTTTTTTTTTTCCCATTTGGGAGATAGAAAATCACAAAGAAAAGAAATTTCTCCAACATCGTTACAGAAGGACACAACCTCTGTATTACTGCTCTGGTGTGAGGCAAGTCCTGACTGGGATTTACAAGCCGTGACCTCTAGCTGGTCACAGGACCTCTTTCAAGCAATGCCCTCGACTCAGCTCTACGACAACCACCTTGTATCGTTGTACTGTTAAACACAGTGCCTGGCACTGGCTGACATTATGTTGTACTTCCTAGTGTTGTTATCTGTGACATGTCTCATTACTGTAAAACCGGGGGCAGAGAAAGTGGATTCTCCCTATCTGGGGTTGACTCATATAACACAAATATACTCAACATATGGGAAAAATTAGCCACGATTTTTGCAGACTAGGATTTAGAATTCTTTAAACTCTTCTGAGGTCACACCTAATCAGGAGACAAATTACAGGCATATAGCCCATTTTAGTTATTTAGAAATAATACCATACAGTACTCTCTCTAAGTGCATTATATGCTTTATAAAACATGTCCCCAAATAGAACTTAAAAATGGTTAAGATGTAAAACAAATAACTCTGGAATGTGGAGGCCAGTGGGAGAAAGAGCCGAGTCATGTTTTCCAGGGCTTTATTCCAGGGCACACAATACTGCCATCAGCTACGAGGCAGGATGGAAGAGAGAAAAAGCGCGGCTTTGACACCATTCAGAACCAAGTTCCAAGGTCGGCTGGTGTCAGACAGCCCATATTCAAATCCCGGGTCCGCCATTTACTTTTTGCGTGGCCTCGGCAACTTCCTTAACTTCTCCATTTCCTCATCTATGAAGTGGAAGTGAGGGCTTCCCTGGCGGCGCAGTGGTTGAGGGTCCGCCTGCCGATGCAGGGGACGCGGGTTCGTGCCCCGCTCCGGGAAGATCCCACCTGCCGCGGAGCGGCTGGGCCCGTGAGCCATGGCCGCTGAGCCTGCGCGTCCGGAGCCTGTGCTCCGCGACGGGAGAGGCCACAGCAGTGAGAGGCCCGCGTACCGCAAAAAAAAAAAAAACTCTCCAGGAAAGCTCCCGATCAATAGCCAGAGGATATTGATCCTCCCACAGAACTAAGCCGCACGCTGGTGTGTGAACAGGGTCCTGGCTTCCACTATGCTGCAGCCTGTAGAAACCCAGGTCTGTTGTAGAACGGGAGGGGCTGCCATCAGACAGGACTAGACACGAAACACGTGTGCCCTCAACTCCAGACTTAAGAAAGCCGTTAGCAGAAATAAGGTAGAGAAGGGTTCTTCCTACAGTGGGTCCAAACCTGCCCCTCATTCCTCCCCTAAACCTATGAGGTCACCAGTTTTCTAATTTCAGTTAAGTGGCACCCTCATCCCTCCAGCCTCTCAGGCCAGGACCTAGGAGGCATCCTTGATTCATCGAAAGATTTGTCCTCTTATTTTCTGTCCTATATCCCATCTATCAGCAAGTCCCGGACTCTGCCTCTACAGGATACGAATCCAGCCCCTTATCCCCACCACTACCACATTCTCATCTAAATCACCAGTACGTTTTTCTCCTGAAACAGTGCAAAAGGCTCTTAAGCGGTCCTCGGGGTTCCTGTCCAGGCTCTTGCTAACCCATTCTCCAAGGAGCCAGAACGATCTTTGTAAAGCGTTAACCAGATGTCTCACTTTCTTAAAACGCTCCACTGGCTTCCTTTGCACTTAGAATCACCTTCAAATTCCTCATCACAGCTCCAAGACATGACCTGAACCCACCACCTCCCCTCCTCCCGCCTTCCTCCTGCCTCCCACGCATTGTCTCCCGGCCCCACTGGCACTCTGCACCTGGGAGGCCTTGGCCCTTGCCCGCCCCCTTTCCCTGGAGTGCTCTGTAGATCAAAGGTAACCTCCCCAAGAAGTCTTCCCTCACCACCCTGAACAAATATGTCCTCTCCTTCCATCACGCTTGGCCTGGTAGCCTATTTTATTTCCTTCAGGCACTTATCACTAAAATGCCCTTACTTGTTTTTGTAGTTATTGTCTATCTCCCCACTAGAATGTACACTCCATGAGGGCAGAGACTTTATCTTGTTCAGTGCTGTATCCCCACAATCTAGAACAGTGCCTGGGGCATAGTAAGTATTTAATAAATATTTGTTGAATGAAGAGCATTTTAGAATCTCATATCACCCCACACAAAATTGACATATGGCAATTCTGCAAAACTTAGAACCTTCCACGTTATCCCTGGCTGATGGAAACAGTGTCACTGTCGTGTCACCTAAACATTTCCAGTTCTCTGACTGAATAAAGAGGTACTCTTGGGATTCTACAAGTTCTACAATGATTTTTAAAACAAAAATTTTTTTCATTGTCCTGAGCACTTAAAAACAAGTCATATGAGGATATTCTAGATCATCTACAGTGGTAGTAAACTCTGAAGCGTTCACTCCCTCTACTGTGCTAATATGCATCCTGGTCCCGATGGGATGGGGGATGCGAGTGGGAGGTGGGGATTCTGCTTCTGGAAGAACCCACATCAAATGCAGACACTGGACTCCAAAGCTTTGGTTTTTAAAAAATTATGTATGTCACTCACCTCTGCTGGCCCTCAATCCACCTAACTTTCGCAAAAAGTAAAGACCAATGGTACAGAATAAATGAGACTCATGGCAATAATGGTTTAAAATGTTAGGTTTTTTTTTTTCTTACGTGTTTAATTTTTTTTTAATTAATGACTAGGAAAATAACACTTATGTACATTCCTTTACATTGAAAGAAAATAGAAAATACTGGTCCCTGTACTAGAGAAAATCAATTCTGTGGAATGTTCCCATGACTGTTGGTTGGTACTGGTATTTCTGTGGTCATGTTGGCTTCTAAGTGATTAAGTTGATCAATTTATTAGATGTTTGCTCTTTTGTATATGGCAATATTGTATATTTACTTGAAACATCATTTATCTTTTGTTATAAAATTAGTTTTGTGTAGCTTTTGAGAATCCCATTTGCTGGGAAGATATTTAGTGCTAGGTGAGCACGTGATACAAAGAGAGTAAGTGAGAAATGCAAGAGGAATGGAGAACAAAGGGGACCCTCCCATCATTATGACTGAGAGGTGGGGTTAAACACATGCTCTGGCATCAGGGAGAGCTCACTGCAGCCCTGGCCATTGCAAGTTCCATGACCTGGGGCAAGTTATTTAACCTCCCTGTGCTTGGTTTCCTCATCTATAAAATAGGAACAGTGAGTACTTATCAGGTGGAGTAGATGTAAAAGTAAAGCTGTTGTCAGTGACCCTGGCACATAGCGGATGCTCACTAAGTACTACAAGGTTGACATTCATTCTTGATTTGCTCGGGATCTTTGCTTCTTGCCATTATCCCTGTTCAGACCCCAGAGTTTGCTATATGGACGTCTTATGCAAGAAGCCATTTATTTGCTGGCTGTGAATGATCTAACTGAATAAACAGAAGGCGGAGATCCACATTGTGTGTTGCCACTGACTAGCTGTATAATCTCAGAGAACTCTCTTAACTTCTTTTCTTCTTTAAAAGAGAGACGGATGAGGCTTGGAATAGGAATATGCTTTAAGGTTTAAAATATTCAAGTGAAAATGGGCAACTGGGAATGCAGAGATGTTGTGAAGTCATGAAGATTTGTAAAGTATTCATTGCTGCTGGGTCTTTTCTGTTGGGGGATGCCTTTAAATTCCACCATGAGCATCACACCATCCATTTTAACATGTGGTCTCTGTGAAGGAAGCACAGCCTCTCCGTGTCTGATGGTTGGGTACCCCTGCCCACGTGGCAAAGGCGAACGAAATGCATGGTGAGGAGAGCCTGCCCCGTTAACTTTCTTTTCCATGTGCTTACTAGGTGTCACCAACCCACAGTCACCCAGTGGGCACAGGAGAGCAGAGACAGCACACTCACACCGTCTTGTCCTCCCCACCCAGAGGGACGGTCAGCCTAAGGTATGACTGCTTGAAACCCCACAACGCCTCCTCTCCAGGGAATTAACTGAAAAATAGAACAGCGAGGAAAAGAGAAACCAGAGATACAATCTTCATAAAATTCCCCTGAAATGGATGAAACACCCTTTCTTTTGTTCCCATGGTTTTCCCCATCTATTAACTCTTGATAAAGATTTGTTATTTTTCTGGGGTCACAGTTTACAGTAAATTTTCTTGCAGAATAGGTAATGCTGATTACAGGGTCTCTTTAAAGCCGTGTTGCATTAACGTCTGTATGAAATGAAGTACAAAATAGAGTTTTTAATCCAGATCAAGGAGGTCCTCGCCAGGATTCCCTTAACCAGAAGACTAGAAATTTGAGAAGCAAGAGAGCATTTGAAAGTACATATTTAAAAACTTGAAAGAATAATGCTCTCTACTGGTATTTCTTGTATTACTTATTTAATTCAGTGTTATGAAGATGCCCAAATGGACATGTCTACAAATGGACAGATAGAAGCTGAAGAGTACTGGAAGTACTAAAGTAGCAAGTTTTAACATTTCGGTGTCGTGGCTGTGAAAACATCCCACACAGGTTAACGGCCGAACCTATAGAGACCCCCTACTATGTTTCCTAACTTTTTCTAGATTTTTCCAGGGATTTTGAGCCCCGCAAAGGATACCCATTGAATCCCTCACACTGAATACTGTTTCCTGGCCTGTCTTACAGGAAGCCCCGGGGAGAGGGCAAGAAGTGCCGGAAGGTGTACGGCATGGAGAACCGTGACATGTGGTGCACGGCCTGCCGCTGGAAGAAGGCCTGCCAGCGGTTCATTGACTAACGCACAGGCCCCTGATCGTTGCCCAGACACTCCTGCCCTTGACTTGTGCTGGGGGTGTTGGAAAGCGCTTTTCCTTCTGAATAAAACACACTTGAAACCCAGGGAAAGCACTTCCGGGAACCTTGGTGAAATCACAGCAAAAAACAAAAAAGGTCACCACCCTCACTGTTCTTGCTGAGAACCCAGCCGAGAGCAGCTGTAACTACTTTTTTCCTTAAAAATTCAACTTTTTTTTTTTTTTTTCCTGTATGTTTAGCTCTGAAAACTATGGACTTCTGTAGCAGTCGAACCAACCAAGCCCATTTTTCCTGGAAAGGAGGCCTATTTTGATAACCTTTCTGGATAATGCCGTTTCTGAGGTTTTTTGGTGGTTTTTTTTTGACACTTAAAAAAAAAAGCTACATGTTATTCAGTAGCATTTGTACAAAGAGCGATACCTGTTTTCATTGTGAATAGTCTTTTGCCTGTTCTCCATCGGACTTCTGGGAGCAGTACACATCACGATGTGTTGCCAGGAAACGGCAGCACTCTGGGTATCTTTTCTATGTCTTTTTTGTTTGTTTGTTTTGTTTTAAAGAATGGCCCCAAACTGAACCACGGTAGAGCCGTTAGCTTGAAGGGCCCAGGAGGGCATAAGCTTGAAAAGAGACTGACAATGGACATCACCAGCAGACTTCAGCCCCAGCTGAGTTCAGGACATCCCGCTGTCACTGTTGGGAAACGTCTGGGAGTCTTCCTCGGAAGCCTTCCCTGAGGGGTGGCCTGGCCCACTCTCTCCCGGCCACAATGCACTCAAGACCTGGCACACATTGCCATCTGGGTAAGCCTCAAAGCTTCCTTCAGGGATGCGACGCCAGCCATAGCTCGGATCTCTTCATCACTGCTTATCTGACAGTTGTTGCCAGGTCAGTGGCTCATCAGGCCTTCCTTCCCTCAAAACGCCACCGCTGACTATTTTCAGAAAAGGTAGAGAACTCCAGACCATCCCGGCGGGCGTGCTTTATTCACACAGCAGAGCACAGCCTCCACGTACCTATGTGTTCAGAAAGTTATGTGAGGTCAGCATCCATTCTGAGTGCACTTTTATAGGTTTTATGCTTTAGCATGTCTGGGAGATGGGTTAATGAACAATATAAAGATTATATGGGGAAAAGGAAGGTCCAAACCTTTATTTTTCTTATCAAAATATTGGAGCTATTCATTAAGAATTTGCTCAGAAGGGAAGATACAGAACACCAAAAGGAAAATGCGTGTTGGTATAGGAATCTCTCAATTTAATAGGACCAGGGCTTGCACTGTGTTCCATTTATTAGACTTTCTAGCGTGGTATTTGTTTGTTTGTCTGTCTTGGTGGTAGTGGTGCGGGGACAGGGGAGTAGTTGTCAAGCCCTGTGAATAAGCTCATTCTCTGTCTACCCTACTCTTGATTGCCCTGCTAAAGTTATTCCTCCTATACCTATGCAAAGAAGCAAGAGCACCTTATAGGATGCACTGTGTCGGGACGGGGGCCTAGGATTAGCCATAGGAATGTTAAATGAAATTGCACAGAGCAAAGTTTAATATATTTAGAGATTGTACATATGCTTTTCTTTGAAAGAGTAGAAAGAAGTCATCTAGTCATAAGAGCTGTCCTCTTTTTTTTTTTTAATAAGCAAGGGAAAAAGAAGGAGGTTCTACAGTGTAACATCTGCAATCTGTGCATTCGTATATTTTGGCAATTTTATTTTTTAAACTCTCACGTGACATTGGAAGCATTATTCCTTGAAAGAGATCCTGTTTCCCTCCTTCATTTATTTTTTTCTTTAAAAACACTTATTTTAAGAGCAGAGAAAGAGCTTCATTTAATATCACATCGTGATTACCAATCAATACAGCACCAGCTATAATGTATGTTTGAGCACTAAAAGTCAGCCAGGAAAGGGTTTTTAAGTGCAGAAACGTATTTGCATCCTCTACCCCAGCCTGTCTTTTCTCCTCCCTGGTGTCTTGTAGCTTCACCCACAAGCGTCTCTGCGGGGAGGTGATGCTCTGGCCTGGTCCAGATGGCCCTGCACTGTGGCTGGATTGCCCAGTGGCCACGGTGAGTCCAAGGCTGGTCAGCCATTTCAGCAGGCTCACCGTGGATTTCAGTGATGGTCGGGGTGCAGTAGTGGAGCAGAGGGTTTTCTCTTCAGCAAAGTTCCATGGCCCTTGATCCTTGGATTAAGTCACTAATCAAAAGAGATTAAAGTGACGAGGGGCTCAATCCATCCCCTACTCCCAGAACTTTGGGACACAAGGAGGGAGAGATGGAGGCTGTGGAGCAGTTCTAGAGTGAGGCTCTGTGGCTCTGACCCCAGAGGTACAGCCCATGACTAGTGCTAGGCTCTGGCCTGGTTGCAAGGGTATTAGCCAATGCACCGATACAAGCAAAGGGTAGAACTGGATGCAGCTTCCTTGTGATTTCTTCTCCTTTCTAAAGCCTTCTTCACACACACTCTCTGCATCTCACACTCACGCGGGGCTCCTTTCTGCTGGCCAGCCCGGGGCTCTCTGTGTCCTCTTCTCTAGCTCTGAGGTGGGCACAGACCCTCAGTACTTTCTGCACACAGACACTGATTCCCTGTACCAAGGCATGTAATGACTAAGGAACTACCAGGCTTCACCTGCCTGGCCTTGAAGAAAAGGGATGAAACTTCTTTTAAGCCACCCAGAAAGCTACAAATTGCAATATAAAGCACTGATTATAAATGCTAAAATTAAAAAAAAATGTAGAGCTATTTTGTTACATTTTGGAACTAAATGAAGTGCAAAGTTAAGTCCAAGTTTTTTTTAATGCCTCCTCTTTTTTTTTTTTTAAAGATTTTCTGATGTGGACCATTTTTAAAGTCTTTATTTAATTTGTTACAGTATTGCTTCTGTTTTATGTTTTGGTTTTTTGGCCCCAAGGCATGTGGGATTTTAGCTCCCCAACCAGGGATTGAAGCCACACCCCCTGCATTGGAAGGCAAAGTCTTAACCACTGGACCACCAGGGAAGTCCCTGTTTTATGCCTTCTCTGTGGTACCACGTTCTTTTCTGTGTTCATTTGGCAGGGGGAGGGGAGTATGGGTGGGAAGGGAAGCCCCAGGGCATGTGGCTGCTTAACCGAAGCCTCACCCATCACGGGCACCTGTCAAAAGGAACGGCAATGCAGTGGCTTCTGGCCCCAGAGTCTTTCTGAAGAAGGCATGTGGTAGCCTTTGACTTTTCTCTCCCCGTTACCCTTTCCTGTTTCTCATCTCTCTCCAAAGAAGGCATTTCCTGGTGATGGACAGGCTTCTCCAGATAGCTGCACAGCAGAGAACAGTCATTTTAAGCCTTAGTTCTTCCCAGAGAACGTGCAACCAATTTATGGGAGGCAGTGTGACAACCTGGAGGAAACACCCGGGTAGCAAGTAGGTGGAGAGCCACAGAGGAGATACAGGAGGGCTGTGGACACCTGGCTCGGGCTCACCATCCTAGAGCCAATCAGCTGGTGGTGACTGTCCCTGGGCACCTCCGAGGGAGCTGCCAGGTTTCCGCTCTGGGAGCAGCTGATTGAAGCAAGGAGAGAGCTCCTTTGCGGGAAGCACTCAGGCCAGGGATGCAGGACTGCTGTGCGCATCTCGGGTGGGCACAGACTGCTCTCCTCCTCACTTGCTGGGAAGTTTCCTCCCTTGTTTGGCAAAAGCCAGTGTCAGGAAGAGGGCAGTGGGCAAGAATGTGCATGCCTGTCAGCAGCTCCGTGCACCAACAGGGTGGGTGCCCTTTATGAGACGATTCTTTGTCCAGGCATAACTGTGTTGCAGATGAAAACTTTCAATATGATGTGTGTTACAGTTCTTGGGCTTTCCAACAAAACTTTTAAAAAAAAATAGTTACGTGTATGTTGCAAAAGATTTCTGAAACTGACATGCCCTCTATCAAATTTCAAGATCACTTAAGTTGAAGTCCACTGTCGCCGGTGTCACACTTAGCCACACTTGAAAGCAGCCCTGGGTTCTGAATTAGCCGGCACTGCTAAAACCCATTTCCGCCTTCGTCCGACTTCAATAGAAAAGGAAAGCGCAGCATTCACTTGTGAATGGTTAGAGAAAAGTGACAGAACCTGTACATATGGGAGAGAATACCTTGAGAATAGTAGCAAAATACTGTAAAAAATATTCTTTTCCTCAGGGAAAACTAAAGGGTATGTGAAAAATAGATCTGGAGGATCCTAAGACTAGAAAGGTTTTTATGATCTCCAGCATCTTTTCTAGTCAGAACAGTTTTTGTTTGTTTGTTTGTCTTTTAATGAACGTGATACCATTTCAAGGCAAATTGCCATGAACTGGACAGTACTGACTTTTTGAGGTGTGGAGGAATGCTCTTTGAAGCAGAACAGTTTCTTTGTTTCTTAGACCTGCGTTCTAAGGCTGACATCTGAACCACAGCACAGTCCCTGGTGGGTTTTTACAGACTCATGTCAAGGCTGTTTGTGAATGTCATTATGAATAGGACACCTTGGTGTTCCCTTTTATAATCAGCCGGTTGGATGACCGGTTATTAGCTGTACACAGAATTCTGTAGGTGAGGGACGTGAAGGACGTGCATTTTACTTTAACAGCAGGTTAAGGAGCAAACTTCCGTGGACTTTTGTGGACAAGGTGCTGCTTTTTCTCATGACCCTATAGAATTTCTGTCAACCACATCAACTGTAGCTCTGACCTGTACGAACGCAGGGAAGAATTTGTGCATACAAATGAGTAGAAACAGAGCACGATTCATGAATATGGATGAGGATGTGAATCATTTTGGAGAAAGCGCTGGGCACACGGGTCAACTGGAAATTTCATTTCTCTAAGAAAATAACCCAACCGGCAGCATATACGCTTTCCCTGTTCCCCATACCTGTGGGAATTCCTCCAGAGCGGAACTGCTTCCTTGTGTCTTTTGCATTGTAACTAGTCAAACCGGAAGTCAGTACATAAAACGAGCTTAGCACTTTTAGGCACCAATTGTATCACTAAGTCATGCACACCACTAGAGCAAGAAAGTGTAAAATGCATTTAAAACCGACTGGTTTGCTTATTTTGACTGACTTTGAAAAAGTCCAGATCCAATCAATGATATACATGCTTTAAAAGGTGTATCTATCATAGGACCAGAAATCAAAATGGGAATTTTACTTTTGGTCCTGTTTTTGTAAATAGTTCCTTTTTTTTTTTTTTTAAGACAATCTCATGTTTTATAACTTTTCTTGTGAGTCTGAGAATCACAATGGTAATGTGTTATGTCAAAATGTAATCTTAAATACCATAATAATTATAACGTAATGTTCCAAATAAGACAAGAAATATACTGCATAGGCTTCTACAATTCTGAGAGATGTGACACTTTTATAAATAAGCATTAGTACTTCTCAAGTTAACAGAACTGGAAATATTTTACAAGATGCAGTGTTTTGTAATCACAAAGAACATGAACATTTTGTGGGAAATGACCTTGGTTTTATACATTGTAGCTTATTTTTTAAAATACAGTAATTTACCAGACAGGAAGTGTTAATATTATAAGCAATTCCTGCTCTCCAAACAAAGGGCTATGCCTCTTTTAAGCAAGTGTTCTGATGCATATCTTTTCAATTAACCCTCTGCAGCAAGGGTAGAAATGCAGATCAGTTGGAAGATTATTACAAGAGAATCAAGATGGCAACAGCTACTCCTTTTATCTTTACCAGTGTGTTTTCAAAGTACTTAGGGGGGAAAAAAAAACTTTAAGAATCATCTTATGTATCTTAAATATTTAAAATGTTAATAGATATGCTTATAGGCAATGGGAGAAAGGTACTTGTAAATTCTTTAGTGTAAAATGATAGATTCCTGTCACAAGGACAAACTTATTCCTCAACCTAACCAGAACCACAAAGCTGCTTTTAACCGGCAAGTGTCATTTGATGGAAATTTCTAAAATCATGGTGTGTAAAGCCCAAAGATAGAATTCTTAGGTGATCAGCGATGTTTAAAATAATTTTGTCCTCAGCACTAACTAAATAACTTGAAATTCCTTTCCAGAACAAGTGCTTGATTTTTCACATGAAGAATTCAGACAGGCAAGTCTGAGATCAGAAAGTCACTGTATTCCCAAGAGTCGGGAAACAAGAAAGGCAGCCGTGGAGAGTTGATTAACCATACAAATAATTTTGAGCTTTGCCAAAACCATTTCATAATGCTCTACAGTTTTTTCTAGCCCACTCACTGTTAAAACAAGAAAGCATCTTTTCTTTCTAAGATTTTGGTAATTCAAAAGCTAGACTAATTAGTCAAGTATGCAGATAGCATCAGAAGAAAAGCTGGGATAGAATGGTCGTCCCCCCGTTGGGCAGCCCCTATAAGGTGGTCAGAGGGTCACTCTGACTTTGCTTTCTAATAGGCTTTAGAATCTGCACACATGAGGACTAGAAATGCACGGAGTTAGGGGAAGATGTATACAGCCTCATCTTTGAGATGAAGCAGCCCAAATCTCTATCTTCATTCTCTTGGAATATCTCTAATGTTGGCATTAAAAGTTCCCAAGAAGTGTTTATTGCTGCATGGTTTTGAACCAAATGAGTCTTGCTTCCTATTTAAATAGAAGCTTCCTAATCCTTTCTAAGCAGATGCCTTGGAAGGAACAGGCAGATTCTGTAAATGAGCGATTCAGATCAGGCAGAAGAAGGACCCTAAAGAATGATGGAGATCATGGTGAACCAGAGGACACACACCCCCTCTAAAGGGGGATCCCAGCTCTAGACAATCAGAACCATGCAGAAATCAGGCCTGGGGCTGCTAGATCTTCTGACTTGGAAATATAATGTTACCTGACACTTAAGCTAAACTCAAATTCTTGGCCAACCGTGTGCAGACCAAAGAGAACGTGTATGTGGGCAGATGCAGCCTTTGGCCACCAGTTTCAACTGTTGGGAAAAGCAGATTTCACCTCCCAGAGCCATCAGGCCAAGTTCTTCCATCAGCCCTACAAACTCACCCATGGGTACCATCTGGGCAACTAAAATCAAAGAAGGGAAAGAGGCCAGTTCTCCCCAGAAATCATTCTCATGGAAGACTTGAAGATAAAAATACAATATCCTTAAACTAGCCTTGCCTCTGATCAAAATATACTGAAACATTATTCAGCTGTCACTCTGCCTCCTGGCGTGCCCAGGCCAGGCCCCAAAGCATGGAATGACTGTAATCCTAACTTGCTTACTGTTTTCACTGCCGTGACCACTGTGATGAGGGCTGGCAAAGAACAGCCTTGTGCCTTTGGAGAAGGCAGCCAGGAGCCCCTGCAGTTTAAGATAGCGCACATTGCCTCCTTGTGCCAAAGCCCGTCGCCAACCCTTCCACACCCTCTCCCACTCCATCCTGCCTCGTGAGTTTGCATCCCAGGATAAAAGTTCCTTTGTTTCACCTCTGACGTGGCAAAATCCTTGCTTCAGAACTGGTAGGTACGTAGGTATTTTAGAGTGTCCAGTAACCTCGAAATGGAGTTTTTCCACGTAGAAAACCTTAACACCTTTCCCTGAGGGCAAAGACAAAATGGGAATAAATGTGTCATGGAAAAAAATTAGACGTTGCTTCCTTCATTTGGATGAACTAAGTTATTTTAGACTGTGTCTTACACCAGAGTCCTGACGGTGTTCGGATAATCACTAACCCTTTCACATATATAAGACAGTATGTCTCTTTCAGATACATGACTTCATTTGACCTTTCCTAGAACCCAGTGTAAAATAAGAATATTTAAGATTACCATCACCACCTCCAAGGCCAACCTGGTTCAAGTGGTCTTCAACCTGTGACTCGGCCCCATTACTGCCTGGAGGGAGGAGGGAAAGAGCGTGTGAAAGAGCTCGCTCAGACCTCAGTCTT